GATTTGGAAAAAGTGAAAGCATTCCCCCTAAGAAATGGAACATGACGAGGATACCCATCCGTACAATTTCTATTTTACAGAGTGCTGGAGTCCTAGCCAGAGCAATTAGGCTGCAGAAGGAAATTAAGGGTTTCTAAATCAGGAAAGGGGATATCTAACTATCACTCTTTTCTGGTGATATGATCTTGTATCTAGAAAACCCCAGAGATTCCATGAAGAGTTTTTTGTCATGCTACCAGAATTTCCTTCCTTTTTTTTTGCAGTTCTTGGCTGGGGCCAGGTTTGAACCTGCCACCTTCAGTATATGGGGCTGGTGCAACTCCTTGAGCCACAGACACCATCCTACAGTAGGTCTTTCTGCAGTAGGTCCTTGGTCTCAGAGATTTGAAGAATGAACCCACGGACCACAGAGTTCAGTGATAAGATTGGATTTATTAGATAGAATGGAATAGAAGGATGGAAAGGCACCAGAGCCTCTGGTAGAGGTGGGGAGATCCAAGAGGGAAACCCCCTCTCTGGGTCATTCATCTAGAACTATACACTTAGAATTACACTTGGCCAGGACATGGCGGACTTCAATGTTGATTAGTGACTGAATGAGGTTATTAACAAATGAATGCAATTCCTTCTGCTCTGGAAAAAAGTGGCAGGGGATATTCAGAGAGTGAAGTTTGGAGAGAAAAAGTCTGTTTGCTTAGGCTTAGAAAATGAGAGGTGGGGTGGTCCTTGTCCAATTTGAATGGGGGAACACTGTATTAGTAATGGATGAATAAATTCAGCAAAGTCTCAGGATACAAAATCAATGTACATAGATTAGTATAATTCCTATACACTAATAATAGTCAAAAGTCAAAGTAAGACTCAATGTCACTCAAAATAGCTACAAAAAGTACCTAAGACTATAGTTAACCAAAGAGGTAAAAGATCTCAACAAAGACAACTATGGAACCTTGAGGAAGAGAATGCAAAAGATACAAACAAATGGAAAAATATATCATACTCATGGAAAGGTAGAATGAACATTTTAAAAAGTTATTTACAAATTCAATGACCTTTGCATCAAATTACCAGCATCATAGCACATTTAGAGAAAATAATTTTGCACTTCATTTGGAACCAGAAAAGAGTCTGAATAGATGAAGCAATCTTAGGCAAAAAGAACAAATCTGGACATATTGCATTACAAGACTTCAAATTATACAAGGTTATAGTAACCAAAACAGCATGGCTTTTGTAACAAAATAGAGACATACACTAATGCAACAGAAAACTCAGATATAAAACCATCTACCTAAAACCAACTGATACTTGACAAGGCATAAAATGATATACAATGGGGAAAAGATACCTTATGTAACAAACAGCTATGAGAAAATTGGATAGCCACCCACAGAGGAATGAAATGGGACCACTACTTCTCACCACTCACAAATATTAATTCAAAACAGATAAAGCCTTGGATCTAGGCTCAGCACTCTAGAGCAGGCTACTACACCTTTAATACCTCAGCAGCAAGTGCGAGGGGAAAGAGACAGAGGCCTGGGCAAAGACATTCCAGGCCTTGCACTTGCTTCTGGAGGGAACCTCCCCTTACCCAGGCCTGATCAATTTCATGTAAGTTTTTTAGGTCTGGGAAAGAAGGGATTGTATCCATTCATTTGTTAGGCTATAAATATACCCCTAGACAGACCCAGAGAGAGAGAGAGAGAGAGAGAGAGAGACTTTTCTCACTTAGGGTTTTCCCTCTGCTAAGAGCTGTGGTGCTTTTTCTCTATGCTTTTCTGTAATATAAAATCTGTCTTACCACTGATCTGTGGTCTGTGGACTCATTCTTCTAATCCCTGAGACCAAGGAGGACAGGTGGGCCCCAGGCAGCTCAGCTGAGCTGGGCTTGAGGACCCCCATCTTCGCCTTGGCGGTGTTAGTACCGTGGCAGCCAGCAGAGGAACCAGCGGGCTGGAGCATAGGCAATGGGAGGAGGAGAGGAAGATAGCTTCCCACCCCAACCAGAGGCTCCAGTAGCCAAAGGGACCTGGACAACTGCTGGGGAGACACAGGCACCTTGGTGTCTCCTTCCCTTTGCACTTATGATTGAATAGGGACCCACCTTTTCCTATGCCTAGGCCAATTTCATGTAAGTTTCCTAGGCCTCCAATGGACTGTGTCCATTCATTAATGCATTCATTCACCTTGCCCCAGCAGAAGGGACTGTGTCCATCATTAATGCATTCATTCACCTTTCCACAGAGGAAGGGACAGTGTCCATTCATTTCTTGGCCTCATATAGAAAGAACCAATGCACCTATATATACCACTAAACGGAGAGTGACGGAGATTGAAACAGAGAGCTTTTCTCTCCCGACTTGGGTTTTCTCTCCCAACTGGGGACTTTAGTGTTTTCGTATTCTTTTCTGTAAATAAATTCTGTCCTACCACTGATCTGTGGTCTGTGGATTTATTCTTCAAATCATTGAGATCAAGAACTTAAAAGTCCGGTATTAGATTTGGCAAGCCAGCCAGGGAGACAAGACGAAATTCTGGCATCAGTATGTATTGTGAAAGAGACACAAAATGTGTTCTTATTGAGAAAACGTAGATATAATATTTTCTAATTCAGAGATTGTTTTAATGTTCATTAGAAGTAAGGATTTGGAGGAAAAAGACAAGATAAATGGCAGCTAATAGAAAAGAGATATAGAAAGTCTATGTTTTTGTTTTTTTTGTTTTTTTGGAAAATGATTAAGCAGAGAGGAATTGTTTTGTGTGAGAAAGGCAACAGTAAAGAGAGAAAACAAAATGTGAAAAAAGTTAAAGATATGAAGATGTGTTTTTGATAAGGAAAGTAGGAAAGAGAGAATAATATTGCATAGAAAGGATCTTGTATGGAAGTCATTTTGTCTTAAAGTAACTGGTGGTTTAAAGGAAGGAAAATTTGGAACAAAAACAGAAAGTCTAGGTATGCTATTGATGGTCTTTGTAAGTGGAGAGATTGTTCCTATAAGGGATTTAGAAATAATTTTGTATGGATCATGTTGGCTGAAATTTAAAAGGGAAATTTCTGATGAGAAACATGTTTTAGCTTTCTTCTTCTTGGTTTAAAGCTGCAATTGCTAAGCTACTGTCTGTGTAAAGGGGGAATCTCAACATCTTCTCATGGGCATCATTTCTACTGTGGTTACTGTGGTTACTAGTAAAGGCAGGATAGACCGCAAGGCCATTTAAGATATGGGAGCTGAATGCTGTAGGGTGGCATTGAGGGAGGAATGAATTCCAGGCTTGGAAAGACAAGGATGGACAGTGATGACAAGCATGTATTGGATCCAGTAAGGGTGAGTCATGCTGTCTCCAGACCCTGAAATCTAGTCACAGTTTCAAAGGGAACTATGGGTCAGGAAGCTTACGTGGTGACTTCACAGGAACTCTTTCACTATTTGTAGTTGGGACACCTTCGTAGGTCACAACGAATTCTCACTGTAGATGGGAGAGTTGCCTGCATGGAGGGCTCTAGGCCAATGCAAGGAGGCCAACCTGATGGAACCGGGGACCCCTTTTCCAACAGATCATCTATTCCTCTTTTTTTCTTTCAGAGTCTCACTTTATCTCCCTCGGTAGAGTGTTGTGGCATCACAGCTCACAGCAACCTTCAACTCCTGGGCTTTGGCAATTCTCATGCCTCAGCCTCCATAGTAGCTGGGACTACAGGCGCCCACCACAATCCCTGGCTTTTTTTGTTGTTGTTGTTGCAGTTTGGCCAGGGCCAGGCTTGAACCCGCCACTGGATATATGGGGCTGGCGCCCTACCCACTAAGCACAAAGAAAACCATGAGACATGGTCCTTCAATTCCCATAAATTCACTCCTAGAATGTCTACTGAAAAAGTTGAAAGCCCTTGGACTTGGCAGCCTTTTGAAAAACGAAATGTATACTCCTTTGCAACCAGCCTGGCCCTAATACCAACGATGGATAAAGAAACTTGGTCCATGTATGGGAGTCTTAACTACAACACAATTTTACTGCTAGACCTCTTCTGTAGAGAGGAGAGAAAGTGGTTGGAGGTTCCCTACAATCAGGCTTTTATTTATTTGAGGTAAAAGATTAACCAATACATTTGCAAGATGCCTGACAGAGTGGGAGTTAATACTGTTAATACTTAAATGCATCTTCTAC